ATGTGTACACCACGACTTCCTTGTATGGAATATTAAATTATATGCATTTTTTCTTGAATTTCATTTAAATTGATTGGATTGAATTAAATCTACTTCGTCGACAATGAATAAACCACAATAGAATAAATGCACTCTTTAAAATTCACTGTATTTGTTTACTGTAACGACACTCTGAATGCACAAAATTTATATCATTTGAAGAATTATCGTTGCCACATGTTCTCTTCAAATACTATAATAAAGCTAAAACGATGTATGAAAGAAATTAAGCAAACAAAACAGAAAAGAAACAGTTTTTCACAGACGATTTAGTATTTCTCATTCAATTAATTCAACTCTCACTTCGCGACAAGGCAAAAATACATAAAAACTCAAAATATCAGTATTAAAAACTACGAAGTAAATCTTAAACATTTATTTCCTCAAAAAAATTCCAGAAAGGATTAAGCATGATTTAATTCATAATAATAAATGAAGGCATTATTTTTGTGTTGCGAAGCTTAGTCTCTCTAGATTGGCAACAAATCTACAATTCTGCTGTTTCAAATGTAAACAAATATGTCTGCCATGTTATGCAAAACTTAACCGCACTTAAACAGCTTTTAAATTGTTGATAATTGTACAAATATTGCTTCCAGAATTACGAAAGGCATAAAAACCTTATTCGGAAGATAAAAACAACATAATTCAATCATTTTTAAAGCAAACAATGTACAATTTACAAACATATAAGAGTAAAGATACTGAGATCACTGAGCCGGGTAACAGAGTGGATATATATATAAATATATTTATATACGTTTGGCGCGACGGATTGCAACCAAAATATGAGGTGCACATCTACATGTTATAGCAGTCCTATATACAAAATTTCAATGTTCTGAGGCTACTCGTTTTTGAGTTATGCGAGATATGTATGTGCATACATACGTTCATACAGACGCCACGAAAAATTCTCTTCAGAATTAATTTTAAAGCAGTTTTATAATTTTTTTGGAGGAAAGGTGTCTTTTATTCTGTCCTTACGCACAAATATCACGCAAAAACATCGTTAAATGGCATTTGATAGCGGTCAAACTGGATATTTTCGTTGAAATATGTTGCCTGAATCTTTTCGCGATTACAATACTTCCTTTATACTTCGTACAAGAAAGTAAAAAGGCACCACTGATTTCACTACGCTCAGAAAACAGCAAAGTATCATTTCAAATACATATTTCAATTAAATATTTAATAGAATAGGCAACAAAACTTATTAATAAAAACTGATGCTTATAATTTTTATAACTAAGAACAGTTTTTATCATAAAAAGAGGTTTTCATGTTACAAAACTATTTTAAAACCATCAGAAAAAAGATACATGAATGACCACATTTACACTTTTTAAATTGTAATACTTTAAAAGGATTACTTCAGAAATATGAGATTTAATACACAATAAATAAAACAGGAAGACACCCAGTTTTTAGCAAAGTGGCATGAAATATATTTCTACATTTTCTTGGATGATACTTGAAATTTTTATATTAAGTACTTATTTCTATTTTGCCCCCCCCCAAAACAAAATGTACATACATGAGTTATAAAAAGCAAGCACGCTTATAAATTTTAATGTTTATAGTATACTAAGAAAAGTGACAAATAATTTTTGGCTGAATGTTTGAAGAATGCTATGATAAAAATGATCACAGTTTAGAATTTTACATTCCACCATACTAATCTTTTAACATGCTTCTAAAAAGATGAAAAAGAGAAACAATGTTCTAGAATATTTCTTTCCAGAAATCTCTAAATGAAAATCTACAATGTAGATAATGGCTTCAAAAGTTTCTGCAATTTTTTAAATGAGCTAGAATGTTGCAGAATGATTTACCCCATAGTTACATTTTATTGCAGTTGGGGGAAAAAAATTAATTTCATATCATGAAAAATTATCATTTTATCTTTATCCAGCTCAAAAGGAAACCATGTTTTTGGTTCATGTGCTTAATTTTAGTTATTATTTTTTTTTTTACAAATTTATAAATTAAGACCCTTATCTGAACTATTTTAGAATCATTTTTAATGCTGATTTTCAATTTAATCTGAAGACCTTGAAGATCTACTTTGTGAAATTTTTTATATCAACATAATATGTTTTTGATAAAAAAATAAACATAGGTTTTGTTAATCAAATTTTTATTTAAAAATATTATATTCTAGAAAATATTTATTGAGTCAATTCCTAATTTAGCAAAGTAATACCAGGGATGATGTGCACAGTTAAATCGTGGCCTTCGAGAACTAGGCCTTACAGCTCAGTGACGTAGAGCATGCGACGTCAGTACAGAGAGTACACCCTTCTTTGGGTTTGAGGGCAGTATTGGGTCAAAGGTTATTGTTAGTCGCCATTGCTACGAGAGAAGTGGTTGAACTGCAATTATTGACCTAAAATTTTGGAATATACCATGCTTTTTTCATAGTTGGACACTTTGAGTTTTGCAATTTGTGGGTTGTTCCAGAAACAATATAATGTCCTGCATGTGTTTAGTGCTGCGATGTAACTGAAATTGCAATAAATATTTTCGTTTTTCCTGTTGATGCAGATGTGAAAATGGATACGTGCAATAAAACGGAAGGACTTCATTCCGACTAAAAACAGCAGGGTGAGGTTTCATTACTATGATTTTATTGATATTTAAAGAAAATTAGATTAAATATTCGATACGTTTAATACGTCTGTTTTTAAAGCCAAATTGATTTCCACTGAAAAACTAGTGTAAAATATTAAAAAAGTAAACAATAACTAGTGTAAAATATAAAAGTAAAATTAAACTAATTAAGTCCATAATACTACAGGATTATTTAATGTATAGTAAATTTTGTTTCATGTATTGCTGAAATGCTGTGCATTATGATTATATATTAATCATATAGCATTAAATGATTAGTAATATCTAATTTATTTCAGTTTTATTTTTAATATACTTGTCATTATAGATTTAAAGATTTAAAAGTAATAATGTTTTTCATTTAAAAATTCAAATTTGTGTTTTTCACATTACTCTTTTTAAACTTTTTGTCATATTTTCAAAATTATTGTGAAAATTGTAATTAATATTATATTTTTAAAATATATAAACAAAACTTGAAAACAATATTGTTACACCAGTTGCTTATAAAGTTTAGAATTTTTTGCCCCTAAAATTTTGCTGTTACGTTTTCTAAATTAAACTTCATACATTAGCAAAATGCTAAATTTTTTAAAAGCTATAGAGTATATGATGTTTTAAATGCATACAATAGAAAAAAAGATTAAATATACTGCAAGAATGAAGTGCTTTTGCAAGGGACGTCCGGTATCCTATATTATCATTACACTTTCCTGATATGATATAGACTCTACCACGTGCGCATCGGTAACGAGATGTGGGAACCTCGGCTAACTGCCTTGCATATTTTAAAATTTAAAACATAATTCTGCAGTGTGTTCCTTTCAAAATGTTCTCTATTAAATTTTCAGAAAATTATTATTTTTCCCCCTTTACAATTCCGTAAGGATACACATAAGTGATCCAAAAAATCATTCACACATAGTTACAGGCACAACTTTCGATCTAGTGAGCTACAAAATTAACTATTACGGTTATAAACTCTAAAGTGGACATATCAAGATTTTCCTTAAAAAGTAATATAGAATGGTAAGAATTCATATCGCAATTAAAAAGGTGTTTAATAAAGACAGTCGGCAAAATTAAAGTAAAATGATTTTCTGTGAAAATTTAAAAATAGATCTTTGGTTTTTATTCTGTAAGAATGTAGACCACTGAAAGTTTAATAATTATTTTAATAATAACACCATTTGACAGTTTAAAACAATGTTGACATTAAAAATTATCATTAAAAATTTTTCATGTATTTATAACGATAAATAAATGATGAAATATTCCTTTTTAATATTTAGTTTATTATAAAAGATCTACACTAAAATTTGTTTAAAAAATAAATGTAATAACCGAAAGGGCTAGTTCTTTCATTTTATCGCCATACTGAAGAAAATTAAATATTATTTAAAAAAAGTCTAAGAAAAAGTTGGTTCTTGTAAAATGCTCTTTTTATTCATATTTTTCGTGTTTACATATGAATGAAAAATAATATGCAATGTTTCGTTTTCAGTTCGAAAGCTTAATATTTTTGCATTATGAAGTGTTGGAAAATTTATCCAATCTATGGAAAATAAAATGAGACTAATATAAATAATTATTGATCATCCAGGTGAAATTTTTTATCAAGTATTAAGAAAAATAAGCTCAGCTATCTGAAGTCTTAACCGCTTGCCTGATTATCCCGAGTTATCTCGGGTTCGTATATATTGCAGTTAATTATTATCCCGAGAAAACTCGGGCGAAGCAAAATTTGTTAGTATGATTTCTTTTATCACGGTTTTACTCAGTCTGGAGGAAATGAAAGAAAATATTCAGCTTTGATTGGCAGTTTGCCAAATTTTGTTGGTTGCACAGTTCTTTTGGAGGGACTGGTTGCGTGTTTCCCTATTGTATAGTATACGTTGGCTTGTGGATTAGTAATGTATAAAGAAGGATGCATGCATTGGGAAAAAAAATAAAATAATGTCGATGATGCAAGACAGCGAAAGCGATGATTTTTCAGATAGTGATTATGAAGAGGTGGGGGGGGGGGAATCAAATCCAACGAGACAGTGTACTCTGTGCTCCTGTGAAAGAGATTCCAGCAGTAAGCCAGTAAAGAAAAGAGACCAGATACCAGTGTAGAATGTCAGGTATCACTCTGTGTTGTCCCTTGTTTCAAAAACAATCATACAAAGATTAATATTTAACTATTTTCGTTTGCTCGAGACAACTCGGGATAGTAAACTAATATTACAAATAAATGCTTTTACACCTTCAAAAAATTAAAAATTCAACTTAAAACCTATATATTTTGATTTGTTTCGTTTTGTTGTATTTAATAATAAAATAAAAAATGTGATGATTTTTGCAATTTTTTCAAAAAAATTTGTAAGGGAAGCGGTTAAAGCGTGATATATAATAAATGTTAAGATAGTATCATTTATTTAATAATCTCCTATTTACATCAGACTAACATAAAATTAGCTTCTCTGATAAATTAGTGTGCTGTGGGTTTACTCGCTTCGAATGCAGGAGAGAGATTTCTTCGCACTCCTCATCGTGACGTCACGAGAGAGCTGGACAGCCTTATTTCTAGAAGGTCACGGTTAAATCATGGTTAAGCTAAGGGCAGCTAAAAAATGCAAAAAACCAATATTACATTTAATGGAAACATTCTATTAACAATTTACTTATATTTTCAAATATTTTACTCTGGAGAATAAACCTCATTGGGTTACACAGATTAAATCAGTATTCAAAACAAAAAGAACACACTGTAAAGAATAGAAGAATAAGCATCCTTACATATGAAAAAACAAAGTTATAAAACACATCAAAGAATGATACTTCAATGTGATTGAGTTCAAACTTATATATAAAATGTCAGTCAGAACTTTTTGTTTATTGGCTGAGTTTATCTGGCACACATCTTTTACTACCATTGCTGTTATCGTATGAATATAACTTTTTCTTTTCATATATTCCATAGGCACTTTAGTTTGACACTGATGATTTGTGACTACAAGATTTAGACAACCCCAATTAATTTGCAGTCAACTAAATGGGAACTGACTATAATTCAGTTAAGCTTTCAGTACAACAAAATAGCACTAAATCTTTTGATGATTTGTGATAATACTTTTTTATACATTATGCAATAAAGTTTTACGTATTTTAGACAACCCCAATTAATTTGCAGCCAGCTAATTGGGAACTAACTATAGTTCAGTTAAGCTTTTAGTACAACAAAATACCACAGTGAATCTTTTAAATCCTACCTTTAGTAATTCATAAATTTATGATAAGTAGCAAAATTTAGTAAAGTAATGTAGAACTATTTCAAGAATAATACTTATATTCAACTGTTTCAAGAACAATGTTTATATTTATCTGATTATTGATTACTGATTTTTGACGAAGATATAGCAATTTTCAGCAGAACAAGAAATATTAACCTAATTCATTAGTAAAAACAAATACTATATAATTACAGAATGTTCATCCCTATATCTCTGATAATTATGTGAAAGTAAGGATATCATCAGAATTTTGACATTTATTCATCAATTCTTTTCTTTCAACAAATATTACCTTATAACAGCTAGCAGAAAAACAGCACAAATATCAATAAGGTATATTTAATATTAGAAATACATAGATAGCTACTTATAAACAATTAGAAAGAAAGACCAAATAGAAAATTCTAAAGTAAATGTTAATTACACATACCACACTCACTACTTTTTTAAAGTATTACTCTGGAATATTATTCATGAAACCTCTTTCCCTCTCCCTTCTCTTTAAAAACGCTCTGTTTTAGAGTGCATCCCAGTTTTCTAGGATAATATTATTAAATTCAAATATACATGCTGTTATTTTTTAACTTTTTCTATTATTGCAAAAGTTTAAATGGGAAATTTTGTCTTTCATACTGATAATCAGTTTAGATATATACAGTCAAAAGTCGTTAATGATCTACAAAGCGAAAGTATGTTTCGAAGTCCATTAAACAAAAAGTGGAATTGCTGCAAAAAATGGAAAAAGGCATATCCTTTGTTTATCTAAACTTTAACGTTTGTTTATCCAAACTTTGTTTATCTTTAACGCCGCTGCGCTGCGCGCAATGAATTGGAAGTTGATCTGTCAGCACTATCCTTATCTTCAGGGCAGATGTTTTCATTTTATTTGGCTTATAATTCCTTACTAAATGTAGCATTTCATCTCGATGTACTCCGTCTTTGATATGATTTAAATCAAAAATCCTCATCATTATAATTCGCTTCCGATAGCGAAGAGTGACAGAGGTTATTGAAAACAAAAAATTTCGATTGACAAATTAGTCAGTATTCTCGACGCAGCAATTATAGAACTTGAACAGCGGAACTTTGTAACTGAACAAGAAATGATGTCTGTTTATAGAATTAAGGAGAATGTATTATCACATAAAAAATGAAGCAACTTAAACAACTTACATTGAAAGAAATGTTTAATAAAGTAAACAAATAATATTAAGCTTTTTTTTTTTTTTTTTGATACCCTTTAGATCATAATTGTTCTTTATTTCATAAATTACGGTTTCATATTTTTAATTTTATAATTTCTGCATGCCGTCTTACCAGATTTAAACTGATGATCTATAATCCGGAATCGCCGAAGTCCCGACGAGTCCGGATTAACGACTTTTGACTGTACTTGATTAATCTGAAAAAATTACGTTATTGAAAAGTGTGAAAAAAACTGGTGACACAGAATTTTATGAAAAATTTAAAACATGCTGCAGCAGAATTATAATTTTAAAAGTTCAATAAATGTGCAGACAAATAGATATAAATGAAAACTATTCTTGCTTGATAAAAGTAAAATAAAGGAAAATTGCAATCTTATTACAATTCTTTTTTATAATTTGCAATGACCAAAGGAACAACAAGTCACCTACGGAAAACAGTAATGAATGGATAATTCTAGCACTAAAACTCCACACAACTGAATTGCTGAAGTAAGTTCACTCACAAATAGTAATGTACAACAAATTTGAGAAATATATTGTCACCTTTAAAATATTACATTCACAATTCCTCACACAACAAATTACGTTATCAAAAAAGTTTATGACTGTTCAAGAAGGCGGGGAAACCCACCACCGTTTGATCTCTATGGTTTGCTTATTTCTATTTTGCTTTTGCAAATTTACATTCACACAACATTTAACTTAATTTATTTTTGTATGTTCTAAAAGCCAATCGAGATTATTTAATTATTACTGTTTTACTAAATTCTTTTTTCTTTATAAACATATGGCATGCAGTATATGACTTATAAAGTAATTCAACACAGAGTTTTCTTAAGGTGGCAGCATAGGTTGGCCACTCAAATTACTTTTTTACTTATATGTAAAACATAATCTCCTTTCTTATACTGTAATAACTTGAGAATAATAAAATATCAGTAAATTGGTGGTTATAAACAAAGCATCTAAAACTGCATCAAATAAAGCATTTACGATTCAAGAAAACTTAATTTAAAAAAAAAGCTTAAAGAATCAAAAGTATATTATTCTGACCTCTACACCATGTATGTTAACAACAGTTATTTCACAGAAAACTTTTACAACATCTAGACAACAAAGATTAATCATTTATAAGCAAATGAATAATTAAAGACATGAATCATGACTCAGATTATGTCTTAAATTATATTTCTTACATACAGTCACGATTGAGAAACAATATCGAGTCTGAGCCTAGTTTAACAATAATGCAAAGAAATGATAAATTAATTTTATGATTAAGGCGATAAGAAATGCCACTTAACTGCATATGTGTTTAATTTATCAATAAGTAATTGCCAGATTAAATATAAAAATGAATACTTGAAAAATTTAACAAAAATTAGTTTATCATACTTGTTTTCATAACTCTAGCAGAATTCTTTACTAATGCATTTCTATCAAATTAAAAAAAAAAAAAAAAAGTAATAAATAAATACAGACAGACAGATCAGTTCATGTTTAAGATTTACATTTATGAAGTACGACAATAGACTGTGGTTCATAAGACAACATATTACATGTATAAGAAATATTCACTTTTAGTTTACAAGTGGGTGAAGCTTAAAACTATTTAAGAAGTGAATTTTTCTTTAAAAATAACAGATTACTTTCATATTACAAATATATATACTAAGAAGTTCTGAGAAGAATTTTATTTTCATGCTTACTCCTAGTTATACATCAACTGGTCTGCATAAAATATTTAGGGCAATTATGCAATTATTTTACACATCTTGATGCAAACAATTTATCCCTTTTACACATTACCAATTGCAGTATTCCTGAAGTCTGGTTTTGTTGTTATATGATTACATTTTGTACACAAAGGCATAACTGAACTAGGGCAAACTATTCAAAAATTAATTCTAAACCAGTATGAATAAGAAATACTACAAATAATAAAGCATGAAAAGAAGGTAGTTAAGTATTATCCTGTCGACTGTGAAAATGTTGCCAAACAGTGCGATTAGTGCTATGTAATGTAACAACCCACTCATAACATCTGTGCTTTCAGCTTATGTAACCTTGATTGATCCTCAATAAGGTACATTTTGTTTTCATGGATACAAGGATATAAATTATTTGTTACTGCTGTATTTTATTTTTTCATGCATTTTGGAGGGGAAAAATTTGGGACCTGCCCGCTATAGAACAGTAAGTAATGAATTATTTTCAAAGGGATCCCCCATCAGAAAACTATGTATTAATGGCCATGACATGGTCAGCTGAGTATGGCCAACAAAACAATAATAGATTGGAACAGTTACTTATGGAAAGTTTGTACTCATAGCATTCTAAAAAGTTTTTGGTAAAATCACAGGGCATAACAAAATAGCAGAAATTGACAAAAGCATATTTATAAAGTGAAAAAATGAAACAGGCCAACTAATGATTGTTTATTAAATAAGGCGGCATCAGTTCCTTGAAAATTCCCAGAAACGATTGGTGCAACTTTGACAGGATCTCATGACCTTGTATGATTCAATGATAGCCAATTTTCATGGTCGACGGCATAATATGTAAGCACTAAAAAGAACTCCCATTCATAATTTTATTCAGTAGACAACAATTAAGTCGAAATTATTCTACTACAAGAGCAAAATAAATTTCGTATTAAACAATTTATTTCTGAATGCAAATTAAAAACAATTTTTGCATGCAAGTATATAAATTATATTTTCTCCAAATATAATGTGAATATATATATATAGGTTTTCAATCATAACTTAAAAACTAATTAAATCCGCATATGGCACTATAAACTGCTTAAGATTATACACAAAAGTTTGTTGCATAGTATTATGCAAACATCGAATAAGAATAATTCCGCAGCCAAGACATATAATATATGCTGCTAAGAACATCTTTTAATTATTATGCTCAAGGTACAAATGCTTATAATATAAGTAATATTCATAAAAACTACTTCTAGCTCAATTTTCTTAAAAACTAAGATAAACTTTACTCTTTTAGTAACTGAGAATGCACATTTCATTACTTAAGTAATCTGCGGCATTCCGGTTTAATCAACCCAGAAGATAAAAATGTTGTACCACAGAAATAGGTAATTACTTCAACAAAGA